GTATCTTTTTCAATCAGTGTTTTTGTGTCTTTTGGGTAGATACCTAGGAGTGGGATTGCTGGGTCATAGGGAAGCTCCATGTTTAGCAGCTTGAGGAACCTCCAGACAGTTTTCCATAGTGGTTGTACTAGTTTGCATTCCCACCAGCAGATACTGCCCAATTTTTAAAAAGATTTATTTATGCATACAAGAGCAGGGGTGTAGGCCAGAGGTTCAGGGGTGAAAGGACTCACCAGAGACACAGTGGGGAGCAGAACAGATGGATGGACTGAAGTGTATTGCTGAGGGGAGCAGCGGGTGGGTCAGGAGAGGTCTGCTGTGCCCTGTGGGTCACCTCCCTAGCTGGGGATTGAAATTGTGCTGCAGAGGGTACAGAGAGCTTCATAATGCTGAGACATAGTCCCTTGCGCCACCGGGGAGGCCCAGTATTGCCCCATTTTTAATCTTGGGGCCATTGCTATTTTTGCTCACAAAGGACAAGTAGACACACCTGACAGTTTGATTTGAAGCTGAAAAGGATACAAAAGTCTTGACTCATATTCTTCATTAGTCATGATGCCTGAAATTCTCCTTTATTTTATAGTAGGGCTTGTCCCCCTTAAAGTGGCATATCCTTAGAATATAGTGAGAATCAAGACCTTTCAGCTTGTAGATGACAACAGCTCTAATGTGGGAGCGGGAGAGAGGTTGCAGACATTGTGTTTTTAGGCAGAGTGGGGCTGAGCAGCAGGGAGGGCACCTACACAGGTTTTATCTAGGACCAACTCTGAGGAAGTAGCCGGAAATCCAGGTGAGACACTTTTGATCCACTATAACTTTCAAACTTCCCGTTGCAGGAAAACCAGTAGGTGACCATACTCCTGGATCGGTAAGTTGGCCTTTTCTGTACAAAGTGAAAGTTGCCTTTATTGCCTCTTGTCCAAGTCCTGCTTTTATCTTCCTCCTTTGTCACCCAGTTGCTCCCCAGGTCCAGTCAGAGTTGTACATGACACTGTCTTTCCCCTTTGGCTAGATTTCTCAGAACTTCTCAGCCAGAATGTCTATCCTCACTTGCAAAACTGGTGTTAGAGTTGCTTCTGGCAGTTAAAAACTGGGAGTGCTCCGCCCTTAACGAACTGTGACAACTCTGGAGAAGGAGCAGTCACGGAGCCTGTTTCCTCTGAAGGTCCTCTCTGACCGGAAGGTCGCAGGAGCCATGCTGCGCAAGCGGAGATGCCCGGAAGTGCCCAGCTCCGCCAGCGTGCCAGGGCTGGCCAGGTCAGTGGTGGTGCAGTGGCTAGTCCTGCCCCTCAGTGAGGCTTTGCCAGCTGTGGTCCTGGCGTGAGTTACTTCCTCTCTTGACGCTTCATTGGTCCTTGACTTTTGGGGAGCATGTGGGGGACAGGGGCAGGAGACAAGTTGATAGCTGCCATGTAATTGCAACCCCTTCTTCAGCAATTCAGGATTCTTCTGTTCATTAGGATGAAGTCTGAGAAGAAATGCAATCAGATCTCTACAACTGAGTCCAATTCATCTTAAATGAGCACTTACGAAGGCAGTATTATCAGATAGCAGAAGATAAGGCTTAGAAAGTCCCCGAATAGCTTACTAGAACTTCGAGAAACTCTTAAAAGAGTGATGACAAATAAGATGTACTATTCTTTTACCCTGTGAGCAGTATGCTCTTGGAACTCCACTGTAAGAGGTCATCCAGCTAAAATACAATTGCCTGTGAGAGGTATGTCAGTGATCAGCTCAGGGGCTGTGAGGTCGCAGAGAATATTGGGCACAGCTATATGTGGAGGCTACTGTTTTCTTTTGACTCTCTGTCAGGGACAGGATGAGTGAGTAATACAATTCAGTCATTCTTATTATGACCCAGAGAGGCTGAGAGGCTGGCGGAAGGACCCAGAGTGTGGTTTGCTCCCAGCCCAGAGTGCTTTCACAGCGAGCTGCCCCTCCTTCCCTGAGACTGTGTGGGCCCCCGGATTTCCACAGAACAGTGAGGGTTGACCGTGAGGGAGCAGACCCTCACCCTCCAAACGCAGACACCAGTGTCTGGGACACCTTCCCGCGGCAGGCAAGGTGTGAGGTATTTCCATTCAGCTGGGTTTCCCATGGAGGTGAGGCTTCACCTCCTGCCCTTCTTTGGATTTTGATGCACAATTATTTCAAAACCAGATGCCTGCTATCAGTCACACTCTCAACCCTAGCTCCATAAGCATCTCAAATTGGGATTCTGCTGTGAATTAAAGCAGCACCCAAAGAGAATTGGCCACACAATTTATTCTGCAGGCCAGGCATGGTGTAAAAATAGCTAACCTGCTGAAATATTCATTTGAGCCACATTTACTTGAGTGTGGTGATGTTGCCACTGCCAGTAACATGTTCTGGGTTTTTTACCCCCATCTCAGCATCAAGATGGGGACTTCCAGCCAAGGCCCCAGGAAAAAGAAGCCTCTCGCAGAAACCAGGAGGGTAAGCACCAGAATGGCCATCTGGGGCCAGGCCCAGCTGGACCGACTGACCGCTCACTCTGCTGGTGCCCAATTGGCTGCCTGATGCACACATCAGTGAAGCCTTTTATTAAAGGTCCTCACTTTCCAGCTTAAAAAGCTGCTTCTCGTTCTCTGTGTCTTTGCAGTTGAGGAAAAAAAAAAAAAGGTCTGTATCTCACTGAGGTAGGAGCTGGTATAGTGTTTTCTCTTTAGAAGCCTTTTTGCCTTCCCACACTGGGCCTGAGTGTGGGGAAATCTCGTTTTCACAGAGAACAGGCAAGTGTTGGCGCAGAGCACTGGTGGCGAGCACTTTGCCAGCGGCTGGGTTTGAGTTCACTTGCAGGTGTACCCCCATTCAGAGATTCGTGTATCCGCCGCACCTCCATTTCCAGGCTGTTTTCCATAGTGGTTTCTAAAATGGTGCTTGCTTGCTTTTCTCCCTTTTAAAATGATGAAGCAAGTCTTTTCCTTCGCACTCTCCAAAGTAGCTCTGATGTTAAGTGTCCGAGCATGCACAGCTCCCCTCCCCCGCCTTCCTGGGACTCCATCACTTGTCAAGCAGTTCCACCTGCGAGCGCGTTCTCCCAGCAAGTCCTCATGGAGCGCCCACTGCATGCCAGACTCTGGGGCCGCACCCTCCCCCAGAAGTGCCCCGTGTGAAGCTGCTCAGTTAGTGGTGGGACTAAGTGGTGTGCTTTGGTGGGACTAAGAGCTCAGGTGCGCGGAGAACCCAGCCGGACCTCCTCCGCACGGGCATAGTTCCCAGAGTGGCTCGGCTTCCAGAGACTGCAGCAGGGGAGCGCAGGGTGGAGCAACTGGCCGCCTCCACAGGCTGGCCCATGCGGGGCTGTGGTCACCTTCCGGAACCGTGGGAGTGACCTGGAGTATTTCTAAGTAGAAAAGTGAAGTGTCCGGTTCCAAAGGATCGTTCTGTCTCCCGTTTGCAAGGTGTTGTGTTAGGTGCTGGGGGCACCCAAACCTTCCTGAAAAATGGCCACCTCTCCCAGGGAGCTGGGAGTTTAGTTGTGGGAAGCATGAACCAGGGACTCAGCCCTCTGCCTCTGTGGACAGGAGCAGAACACAGGCTTCCACCATGCCATGGCCAACTGGCCCTTGGGCCGTCTAGGGGGACGGTGCCCTCTGGTCCTTCTGTCTTGGGAGAGGGATGAAGGAGTGAGATGAAGGAGGAGTACGTGCAGAGTACATGAGGCTCTGGAGAACAAAGACGCTTTACACAACCCAGGTAGTTACTATTAAAGGAACATTTCCCTCACTCTCTCCCCTCCGTACCTTCCTATTCTTAGTGTGACACATCATCTCCCTCAAGAACAGTGCCACAGCTTCTTACTCAACATAATTACCTTTTCCACCTGATACTGGGTTTAGAAAAATCCGAGCAAAAAGAGCATGTTTATTGATTTTGACTCAAAGCCCAAAGAGCCTGTGCTGTGGCCCCTGCGCCTAGAGAGGATGTCGCCTCAATTCAGTGATCACAGTGACTCGGTGTGAGGCTCTTGCTCCTGTGGTCCAGTGCCAGTATTTTTTTTCCCCTTTGGGAGAAGTTAGTGCGTGGGACCATGGTCAGTGTGGACTGTGCTCGTCAGGACACGTTAGGGCCTGCGCGGGGAAACCACAGAATGCAGCACGTGCTCACGCGAGTGAGTCACGGGCCGGGAGGACAGGCCCGGCCCCCGTGTCATCTCAGCTCCCAGACCTGACACCCAAGCCCTGGGGGGCACAGGTCCAGAAGTGGGGTGGCCCAGAGGTGAGCAGACCAGCGTACCTCACTTCTTTAACCCCCTCTGCTTGAACCGTACTAAGCAGAACCGGCCCTGAACTTCAGACAACCTTGTGTCGAGTTTTCAGAGTACCGAGTGGCGTTGGGTGTCCCGGAAGGCACCCTCAGGCTTGTTTCAAGCTGTAGCCTCTTTCCTCTCATAACATTTGCCTGAGAACCCCCTCAAGATTTCAGGAGAGTCTCCCCGGTTCAGAGGCCTTTGCCCTCCTGCTCCCCACGGCTGATCTTAGGAGATGCTTCCATTTGGGCCAGCACAGTCCCAAATCATCGTTTTAATAACACACAAAATCTTCCCTTCAAGCTAGAAATCGAGGCTGTGTCCTCCAGGGTCCATCTCCATACTGTGAGGAAGAGTTAGGGATGGCCGCCTTCCTCCCCAGAGTTCCTGTCACTGTACAGGGTGTAACGAGGTGGCTGCCTTTGTGGTGTGCGGCCTGCGGGGGTTGTGCATCTCACATATCCCTGCAGACACTGGGGCGGAGGCTCATTCCACTCCCTGGGCGTGCCACCCTCTGCCTGCCGACCCGCCTGGCCGTCCCGGCCCCTTGCTGTGGAATTCTCCACCAGCAGTGACCCAGGGGCTCCGGGTGCCTGCGTGTTCTACCCAGGGCCTGGAGTGCCACTTGGCAGAGTTCCCAAAGAAAACAGAAGAGCCGTGTTTCTGACTCTCGGAGCGTTCACTGAAAATGAGGGGGCTTACAGCCATGTGGTGGGGTGCCCTTTCAGCTAGCACGTGCTGTTAACGCCGTGACACTGGGAGAAACAATGGGTCGTGTTTCCGCTGCCCTGGCTCTGGCCGTGCTGCTCACATTCTCGCTTAGGGCGCCTCTGCACACCACACCCCCGCCGGGGACGCCCCCACATCTCGCTCATCCCTCAGTGCCCTGTTCCAGTCTCACTCCCTTCCCTGCTCTTCCATGCCCTCCCAGCGGGCTCCTGGGCTAATCTCATCCCTGTCTTAACAAACTTTTATCCATCAGTCCTACCACGTAGTTGTGCATTTTTCCAAGGTGAAGTTAAGGTTCCTCCGACTCTGAGGCAGTATTCTGGCCTCGGCACTAGTTGGTGTCTGGTCACAGCAATGGTGAGTTAAACCATTCTGGTTGGCTCTCAGCCCTTGGGGTGTAGAGCGACAGTGCTGCGGAAGCTGTAGTGGGAACAGGAAGGACATCTGGAAGCCGCTGGGCAGCAGGAGCCGGGCCCAGCACCACGTGCAGTCAGTCCAGTCGCAGGCAGCATCTGGGAGCCCAGGCTCAGAAGGGGCAGTGTTTAAGGCTTTCCTTCATCCTCTTTTTATCAGGATAGGGAAAGAAAAACCCAGCTGGAATGGCAGGAGGCCCCAGCGTTTGATGGCGCCGACGGCCCGGAGCAGGGTAAGTTTTGGGAAACCGCTGCTCATGCCTGGACTAATGTTCTGGAGAGTAGCGCAGCGCCGAGCTGGGTGTGAGCACGCCCAGTGCGTGATGCTCCCTGCCCCGCAGAGGCGCCTGCTGGCCACCGTCTGGCCCAGGCCGCCTTGAGTATCAGACCCCCCCGCCCGCCAGCAGGAGCAGTGCGTGTCCTTCCCATGCTGCTGCCGTGAACTGACGCCCCCACTATGCAGAACATTCCCAGGTGGCGGGGAAGCGGGGAGGGGCATGTCTCCCTTTGACTGGTGGAGTGGCGCCTGGGAAGCTGGCTCCTCCGCTTCCATGGGGGCACCCAGCAGGGCTGGACCACCTGCCTGCGGGGGAGCTCCCCTCCACAGGCCCATGTTTTACCACACGAAGGCTCAGTGGCCTGCAGTTACCCCAGCAGAGGGACGAGACTGAGTCAGGGCTTCAAGTTGTTCTACGTGAAGAAACACCGGCCGTGGCAAGTGCGAGGGCCGGAGCGGTGTCAGCATCTCTAGGGCCTGACTTTGAAAATACTGTAAGGTCCAGTAGCATCTTACTAAGTGGCGATGAAAGCGGGAAGGTCAGGACCAACATTTGCCTTCACACCAGGCAGCGTGGTTGCTGCCCTGGGCTCGGGCTGCGTGTCCCACCACCTCCCACGTGAGCGTAGCCTAGAGAATGACCCCTTTTCCCTGGCTGTTTCATGACAGACTCTGAGTTGGGGGGCCGCCTCGCAGCGCAGATTACCCCACCACTCCAGCAGAACCATGTGCCTCGGCCTAGAGGACCAGCGGAGCCAGGAAGCGGTGGCTTCTTCGGCTTCCTCAGGTAGGACAGACTTCTCCCCCGCCAGCAAGCGGACCCGGTGATGCTAGGTCTGAGCCCGCCTCTTGAAGGGCCTCTGGGAAGTCAGGCTAGAGAAGAGCAAATCCCTGCATCCCAGGCAGAGGAGGGACGTGCTGGCCCTGGGCTGGCCTGACTGTGCACCGTGGCTTGTTCACCTTACACAGCCCACCCCACCCCACCCCACCCCAGCACGGGGTCTGGGTCTGTAAGTGCCGTTTGCACAGAGACTGCTCGTAATGCACGTGGTCATTTCGATGACTTGGTTACCAAAATGTTCCATTCCACACTCTGAATCTGGCCAGCTGCAGAGTCCTTTCTGCAGAGGTCAGTTAGTAAATCCCTTATTTATCCAGAGGCTCAACTATCCCTTGCAATTCTCCTTCCTTTCCCCCTCTGGAGCATAATCTAATTCAGTACCTGCCCTAGTGCTCTTTCAGACCTGAGTTTCCAGCCAGCGGCTCCCCAGGGCAGAAATGCCCCAGCCAGTGGAACCCTAATGGGACCTGGGTGGGGGGGGCGCTGAAGTCTCAACCTGCCCTGCTCTTCTTCCTGCAGCTCTCTCTTCCCGTTTCGGTATTTCTTCCGAAAGAGCGGCCAGAGGGCCTTCCAGCCGCAGCGGCCTGCTACCGGGCGTCCTCCCTGCTCACGGCATTCCGGTCTTGGGAAATGAAGGCCCCAGAGCCCCTGAGTCCTCCTGTGACTGTCCTGTCTTTTGCCCCTTTACAATGAAATGGAGTTTATCCCATTTAAAGCTTGAGAAAAGAATGGAACTTTCTAAAATCCTCTAAGAAATGTTGTCGCCTTGGAGGTGAATTTAGGGCTATCTTCTCCGCCACTTAGGATGATAGTGGCAGTAAACTGCTTAAAGAGCATTAGTGGCTGAAGTCAGGACCTAGAGAGAATGAGAGAGCAAGCCCTTCCCTCGAGGCTCAGAAACGCAAGGCCAGAAGCCTCCCTGGGTCTCCTGGTTATACTGATAGGTCGCTGGGGGTGGCTGGGCTGCGAACTGACCTCAAGCCTGAAGCTCCCCTGCTTGGGGGGGTCTTGCAAGACTCCCTTCCTGAGCCCCGCTGACCATCAGAAACTGTCTCCCCTAGTTCACCTGCTGGGCCCTCAAGGGCAGCCTCTGTGGACGAGTCCCCCCCGCAGCTGCCCCTCTGGCAGTGCCGAGAAGATTGCTGAGGTGATTGGAAGTGCTGCAGGTTAGGGCCAGGAGAAGAGCAGGACACGAGTTCTTCCTTCATCTAGCCCAAGGGCTGACCTGGGAGACAGGTGAAACTTGGCTGAGCCACACAGGGCAACTTGTTCAGCCCAAAGGCCTCACTTAACTGCTGAGATGTCCAGTACTAGAGTGCGTCACCCTGAGGGGGTGAGTGGGTCACCCTCAGTTTTTAAACAACTGGTTATCTCTTAGAGGCTACAGTCGTGAGGACTGGAGAATTGGGGCTGGCCACTGAGGGCCCTTGGTGTCCCCTTGTTTCACCACCTTGACCTTGGTGGGAGAAGAGCAGAGCGGGCTGTGCAGAGGGTGGGGTCCTGCGGGAGGAAGGGCAAGTGTCAGGACAGCCTGTGCCGGAAGGCTCAGCTCCGAGATCTGGAGATCGACTGGCCTGTGGGCACACCTTGGCAAAGTCGCTTTCCTCTCTGGCTCTTAATTTCCTCATCTGGAAAACAAGGGGTAGGATCTGATGAGCGCTCAAGTGCCGCCCAGCACTGGCAGCATGGCCGGATGGCCTTTCTGAGGGGTCAGGGAGGCCGTGGCCCTAGGGCAGGAGGACTGTGGGGCAGAGCACTGGCTCTGGGTCTCAGGCTGCCCTGGCTGCGCCGGCCTAGGAGTGTGCCCGGCCCTGTGCCAGGTGCGCTGACAGGCACCTGTCAGCCCGGCTGGGCGGCTGCCAGCGTGTGGTGAGGCCTGTGGCAGCCTCCTGCTCTGAGCCTTAGTTGCCTCATCTGTAGAACTGGAGCCAGAGCTGGACTAACTGTTCAGATGTCCTGGGGTTGACAGCTGCGGCTCTTCCAGGGGCCGCTGGGGGAACCCTCCACGCTAGCTGGCCTGATGAGAAGTCACCCACCAACAGCCAGTGAAGCTCTGGCCGGGCCTGGACCCTCCCCATCTCCCTGGCTCTGCCACCATCACATGTCAGAGACCCCACCTGCATCATTTCCTTCCACAGATCCGCTCCCCCACCCCACTCTTGGCTCCGCTCACAGGCAGGCAGGGCTGTTGGGTAGCTGTGAGGCTGCGTGGTGAGGCCCTGGACCTGCTCAAGGCCACAGAGTAGAGAGCCTAGGCCGGCACAACCCAGCCCCTCCCCCAGCACACAGGCCTCGCCTTGGCCAGCTCCTGCCCTCCTCCACTTCTCACATCCTCAGCCCTGGCCATAGGCAGCAGGATGCTGAAGCCACAGAGCCTAAGGACCCCACCTCAGAGAAGTGCAGCTCTCCCAGGTGGGGTTGCTGAGGCCTCAGCAGGGGCAGGCCTGAAAGCTGATCTGAGAGGGCGTGGCCCTGGCATGCTGGCAAATAAAACCCCGGAGCAGCACATCTGGAGACCAGCAGGCGGCAGGGAGACTGGAAAGCCACTCAGTGCCTGGGTCTTGGAAGTGGTGAGCAGGCTGAGGCTGGGCGGGCTCTGGGAGGGCCTGGGGCTGCAGGCGAGGACCCTGCAGGCCTCGATGGGCAGTGGAGGGAGGCAGAAGTGTGTCCCAGGTGGCGGGGGCGTGCCCAGGGACAGTTGCTGCGGTCCCCCACTCATACCAGCCAGAGACTCGTAGGCGCACACACAGGACCCCAGGCAGAACCCTACTCTCAGGCTCACCCCAGCCGGAAAGCCGGCCCCAGCCCTTCCTTGCTCCTGGAGGCCTGCGCCCCCCAGAGCCCCCCACCCTCTGTTTCAGATGCCCATGGCGTCCTCCCATACCCTGCTCCTCTGCCTGCTGGTCCTGGCGCTCCCTGGTGGCTGGGGTCGCCAGGCGGCCGTCCCCGGCTGTCACCTGCGCAGTGAGTAACCCCGGGAGCAGAGAGCTGGCTGGGGCGAGCACTGGAGCAGCACCCCCAGGGGCCCACGCGGACGCTGGGGTGCCGGGAGCTGCGCCAGCCTGCAGAGGCCCCCCAGCCTCCCCTCTCTTTCCAGCCTTCAACGTGACGGTGCGAAGTGACCGCCAGGGCACCTGCCAGGGCTCCCACGTGGCGCAGGCCTGTGTGGGCCACTGTGAGTCCAGTGCCTTCCCTTCACGCTACTCTGTGCTGGTGGCCAGTGGCTATCGTCACAACGTCACCTCTGTCTCTCAGTGCTGCACTGTCAGCGGCCTGAGAAAGGTGAGGTGCCCTGCTGTGGCGGCTCCTTTCAGGTTGGGGAGACAGAGGAGACTGCTGGATCACGGACCCCCTTTCCCACAGGTGAAGGTGCGGCTGCAGTGTTGGGGGGGCCGGAAGGAGGAACTGGAAATCTTCACAGCCAGGGCCTGCCAGTGTGACATGTGTCGCCTCTCACGCTACTAACCCAGCCCCCCCACAACATCAGTTCTCTGTGTGTGGGGGGGTGTCAAACCCTGAGCTCCAGCCCTGCAGGAAACTCGCTGCAGGGCTTTCAAAATGAGGATGGGACCCCTCTGGGGTCTGACTCCTCACCTGAGAAGGGGGAAGTTCGGCCTCTGCCCGACCTCTGCCGGCCTCTCCAGGTTCACTCCCTCCTGTCCCTACCCCTAAATAAAGGAGGCGGTTCTAGAGTTTTCTCAATTTATTAAGTCTACCCCCAGCCAGGGGAAGGGGGATAGACCATGGTTGCGGTGAACCCCCCTTGCCCAGGTCACGGGGAATCTCTTCTGCTTGTGCCCTCGCCCCTCCCCCGCCCGATAAATAAAAAGGGGACAAGGCAGGCCAGAGGGGAGGGAGGGGGGAGGAGGGCACCCGGCCCAGGAAAGCCTCTGTGTGAGGTGAGCTGCGGAGAATAAATAGACCACGGATCCCGTGGTGGGGTGGGGAAGGACCTCGCGCTGGCACGAGGCAGGGCGGGCGAGGGACGAGTGCCCTCACCAGCCTGCGGCGGGGAGCCGGGGGTGGGAACCCGCCTGCAGGCTGCAGCCCAGCTCTGCAGGGCCGTGTAGATCCCCAACGGCAGCTTCCTGGTCCAGCTTGCCCTGTCAGGTCCTGCCACGAGGGCCTGAGAGTTCGGTGGCCAGGACCACCATCTCCTGTCCTCCTCTCCCACCGTGAAAGCTGCCCTTGCTGGGCCAGGCAGGGAGCCCTCTGACCCCACTGGCCAGGCCAGGGGTTGGTGTGTGTCTCTGGGCCCCTGGACAGGAGAGGGGAGGTAGGGACTGACAGCTCTGGGTTAGCTCCTCCCCTTCGGGGGGATCTCTAGCTCTGACCCCCACTGGCAGCCACTTGGGGTGTAAGCCGCTGGACAGGGGCCTCCTTGGCCCCCTGGGTCCCCTGTAACCGGCGCAGCCGCAGCTCCTCCAGGCCCTGCCAAAGCTCCTGTCGTTCGCGGGCCTTCTGCTGCTCCCTGGAGAGAGGGGTGAGGCAGCTCCCAACTGGTCCAGCTATAGTCAGCCCCCTCACACTAGCCCCCTGCGGGAGGTGGGGGGCAGAGGGCAGAGTTCTGGTTCCCTAGCTGTGGGAACGTCTGGCTTAGGGCCAGAGAGCTGTCCCTGCAAGGCGGCAAGACCAGCCTGCACTTCGAGGAGGCGCCAAAGAGCAGGAAGCTCCTGGCCTCGAAGCTCCACTGGGACAACTGGGGGTGAGGTGGAGGGGAAGGACAGAACCCCTCCGCCTGGGGGGTCAAGGCTGCTCCCGCCCACCGCCCACAACACTCACTGCTGCTTTTCTAGCTTGTAGGAGGCCGTGAGTTCGTCAAACAGCTTCCCGTTCATCTCCATGAAGGTCTTGAGCACGTTGTAGATCAGAGACACGATGGTTCTTGGTAGTGAGGGAGGGTGGGAGAAGAGCGACCTCAGCCTCTGCACCTCCACCTCACTGCAGCCCGGCTCCTCCTCCCTTCTCACCACCCTCAGGCCTGAGCCACCAGGTCTGGGCTGTGGGCTGGGGTGAGCTCAGGGCACTCACTGATTCCAGTGCTCCTTGGAGACCTGGTAGAGGGTCCCAAACACGGCAGGCAGCACAGTGTGGCAGTTGTCCTCGATGAGGCTCAGGATATACTCGTTGTTCCAGAAATACAGAGCCCGCTCTGCAACCTGGGGCCGTGAGGGGCCGTGCTGGGCAGTGAGGTGGGGTGCTTCCCTGCCATCCCCTGGCTCCTCCCCTGACCCCCCCCAAACCCCTGGCCTCAGCTGATCTGACCCTGGGGAAGCCACCAGGAGTGAACCCCAGAACCCCAGCTCTGCCTCACACCGGCCGCACCACCTGGGGCGAGGCCCTGGCCCTCTCAGCCTCTGCTCATCAGTTGGCCCTCTCAGCCTCTGCTCTACCCCGTGGACCCTACTAGGCACGCTCCCCAGGTGAGTGCTCAGGCACCAGGGCAGCCCGGGGAGGAACTGACACCCCAGCAGAAAGCTGCCGAGCACCAGAACACCATGCTGGCCCTGAGCTGGCACATATGGCGACGACCCCTGCCTGTGATGACCCCTGCCCCCGTGCATCTGCAGACGCCCACTTCGGTCTCCTGGTCTGGGGCCCACTTGGCCCATTGTACAGGTGAGGATGCTAACGAGACCTGAGGGTGAAGTGCTGCCCTGGCCTCGAAAGTGGGAGGAAGAGCCGAGGCCCCCTGACTTAAGACCAGGGTCTCCTCCTTCAGGCCCGCCGGGGCCTGGAGGAGAAACTGCAGACAGAGAGAGCTGCTCTAGGCCAGCCCTCCAAGTCACCCTGTCCACGCTGAGGCCCCACCCCGCCCCACATACCTGGAAATGGGGGCTGGACACACAGCGAGCCACCTGCTTGAACAGGGGCTCCTGGATCTTCACAAATTGGGAGGGCTCAATGACATCAAGAATCTCTTCCATCTCCCCCAGAAACATCACCTGGGGGCAGAAACACGGGCAGTAGCTCCCATCTCCCCCAACACACCCCCCAGCTGGGAAGCTGCACGCTCCAGCCTCCCCCAGGAGGCAAAAGCCTTCCCAGTACCTCCTTCTGGGTGCAGGTTTTGGGCCAGTATTTGAGCAATCCCCGGATCACCTGTGGGAGATGAGGCAGAGAGCAGTCAGACCTGTACAGGTGGGGGTGGCCCCCCCCCATGGGACTCACGTGCTCTGTCAGGGTGGCGTCCTTCTCCAGGAACTGTACCACACAGTACGCCAGCTGCAGGGAGGCAGGAGAGGATGGGTCAGAGGGGACAGGCCCCGCCAGCAAGCCCTTCCGTCTGTGTCTTACAAAAGGCTCCATGGGGAGCCCTTCTATCACAATCCATGGAGGTGGGGGTGTTTAATGGGCAGGGGCAGAGGATGCCTGAGATCAGCTCTCAAGGGGCAGTGGGGTTTTCTAAAGCAGAAGGGAAGGAATTTGTGAAAAGCAAGGTGAGAGAGGGCCCCGTTCATCCTGACTCAGTGGCTGGAGCCTGGGGCACAGGCTGCCCTGACTGCTGGGCTGGGCTGGGCTGGGCAGGGGGGGGGGGGCCAGGCCTCACCTGGGCGTGAAAGACCGAGAGAGACTTGACTGAGTGCAGGGGGATCAGGACCCGCACCAGGAACTGTTTGTGCTCCGTCTTCAGTGGCAGCGCAAAGCCGTTGATGATGCTACGCAGGGCAGGAGAGGGGGCGCTCAGATGAGCCGGCCTCGGGCCCCCCCACAGCCCGGCTGCCGCTGCCCACCGAGGCCCAGGGCATCACCTTCCCAAGATCTCCAGCAGCTCCGCCACGCCATTGAAGTGCTCGAGTTCATAGATGAAGCTGCGAGAGGAAGAGGAGGGTGGGAGGACGCAAGGGCCTCGGAGACCCTTCCTGGCCCTCCTGCCCACGCCCCAGCCCTGCACACTGACCCAGCTCTCTGCCAGCCGGGGGCCGCAGGGGCCCTGCCCAGTACCCAGGCCCCACCGAGAACCCCTGTGGAACCTCAGAAGCGCCTCCAGCCCCAGCTCAAACGTCTCCTCCAGAGCCTCACCCTCCGGTCCTGCACACTTCACGCCAGTCATGCCAGCCAAGCAAATGAGCAGCAAGCTCTAGGCATCCACCCTGTGCCAGGTATTTCTCAAAACTGAGAGCAGCCTAGTGGCAGCTCCTAGCTCCATTGTACAGAGGAAGAAATCAGAGGAGCCGCCGGCTCAAAGAAACCTCTCGCGCTGCCTTTCGCAGCTGATGGCAGTGAGGGCTCGTGTTGCTGCCTGCCTCCAGGTGTGGACAGCCCTCATTCCCATTTTAAAGAGGAAACTGGGGGGCACTTAAGTGATTTGCCCACGTTCACCCAAGTATCTGAACCGCTCAGACGCAGCCCATCAACCTCCGGAGCCGGTCTCTGGCCTCGGCCGTGCGGGTGAGAATGCCTCTGCGGGAAGCATCTTCTTTCCAGTCCTTAGGGCCCAGCACAGCGATGCGGAGGACTTGGAGCCCAGGGGACACCCCCCCGCCCCCCCTCGACCTCGTCCCTGTGATATACTGTCCCTCGGCCTCTTTCCTCATCTGTGAAATGAAGACAACTACTTTTCCTGCTCACCTCACGGCTTGTGCAGTGACCACTATGGGATATGTTCCCCAGAAAGAACTCAGTACACCAGACTCGCAAAGGGCCCCCCAGCCAGGCCTCTGCCTGTCTCCTCCCCCAGGTTCCTCGTCTCCCCAGGTCCCGGCGGGAGACCGGCACCCACCGGAGGAAGATGTGGCTGCACTGCTTGCGGATGTAGGCCCGGAGCCCCAGGAACTTGCCGTAGACCCGGTGCAGGATGGTCTTGAGGTATTCCCGTTCCCGGGGGTCCTCGCTGTCGAAGAGCTCCAGGAGCTGTGGGCAGGGTGGGGGGGCAGGTGAGAGGCTGAGCCTAGGTTGCGTGGGTCCCAGTCCTTTGCCCCAGAGGGAGCTCCTGCCCCTGCCTCCGCCCCGCCTGGGCGCCCCACTTCACCATCAAGACAAACTTTTGATCCACATATCTCTTGGCCACAGAGGGCTGGAAGTCAGGGCTCTCCAGGAAACGCAGGAAAAACTCATAGACCAGCTGAGAGGGGACAAGGAGGTGAGTTCAGTCACGGCCTCCCCCTGTCCCTGAAAGACTCTTTCCCCCCCGCCCCAAAATGCACCCCTGACCACAGCCCTCACACCTGCAGATGTGGCCAGGAAGGCTCAAGGTTGGGCTCATCTTCTTCTGGGTCAAATTCAGGGCTGTCACTGGGTGGGAGGGTCCGGAAGATGTTCACTGAAATCTGGAGGGCAGTGCCAGGGACTTGAGTCAAGGAAGGCCTCAAAGGCAGAAGCAGGGGGTCCCTGAGCCAAAGTTCTAATAGGCCTCAGGCCTGCGCCCCAACAGAGTGCTCCTGGGCAAGTGTCACAGAAACCCCTGGGGACCCGGCAGAGGCCACATCACCCCATCCTCTGTCGGGAACAGTCCAGTGGAGAAGACAAGATGGGAAGCCATAGGTCCAAGGGATGTTCCTCTTGTGCTCCCTGGAAGAGGCAGTGCCCGAGCCAGGCCCAAGGTGAGGGCACAGAAGTGCACCCCAGCCTCCAGGAATCACAAGCACAGGGTGGAGTGAACAGGCCCAGGAGGCACGGAGGGGCCTGTGCTGCCCATGTGGCCTGGGCAGTGGGCTTGCGTGAGAGGGCACACATGGGCCTCAGAACCCAGCCAAGGAGCACGGGCTGACTCCTCACAGGGACCTGCAGGCTGGTCAGTAGGGTTCCTGGGCTCCCCAAGTCCTGGGTGCCAAGTGCTCACCATGCGGATGATGTCAGGATAGACAGGCTCGATGAGCACCCCCCGGGTGCTCCCCACACACTCCACCAGCTCGTTGAGCGCTGCCCGCTTCACCTCCTTCCCCTTCAGGTCCGCCACACAGTCCAGGAAGTCAAACATCACCCCGCACTGGGCCAGCTTCCGGCTCAGCAGCTCGTGCAGCTCTGAGGCTGGCACATCTGGGGGAAGCAGCAGGTGAGCCTGGGCAGGGAGGGCCTCCCGACCCGGGGACTGCCTCCTGGCCCCCGATCCCCGGCTCCTGCGCCACCCAGCTCTCCTTGTGAGGAGCAGCCCACTCCTGCCCTGCCCGCCTCTGTCCTGCCCAGGAAAGGAGCCTCTTCCTCCTGACCCGTGGTGAGCACCACGCCCGGCTGCAAAGCCTCACCAGCTGGGCTCTCCACAGGTGCCAGCCGGCCACCCCAACAGGGGCACTCTGTTCTAAGTGCCAGAGGAAGGGAGGGAGGTGGGGACAAGCCTCTCTTGGGCACCGTCAGGCTCAGCTAGCACTGGGGTGTGCGGGTGTGTGGTTATCACGGGGAGCCGTGCTGAGTGCCTGCTCCAGGACCCCATGGCTTCCTGGAACTCAGGCGTGGGCCCCACCCTTGGCCCCCGCCTGCCCCCCAGGATGGCGCCACCTCCAGATGCCCCACCTCCGAGGATGACAGGCCGGTCAGGCCATGCGTCAGCAGAGGGTGGAGGGTGGGGGTCAGCTCCCGGCCATCTCAGCTCCCTGTGAGGGCAGCTGCCAGCTGCTCACTCCTTCCCGCTGCCCACTAGGACCCAGGTGCCCTGGCAGCCGAGGGCTCACCTTTCAGCAGGGGCAGCGGGGTGAGCTCTTGCTGGTTGCTCTGATAGCGAAACTGAGAGGAGCTGTGGGAGCGCCGGGGCCGCGCCCTGCGGAGGGAGCGGCGGGAGAAGCCGTCCACCTTGTCAGGTGGGGGCACAGGCGACAGTCCCGGGGAGGAGGGGCTGGTGGGGGTGCTCGCAGGGGGCAGCTTCGTCTCCATGGTGCCAGGTGGCGGGTCAAGCCTTCAGAGCCCCTGGGGCCCCTCTGGGCCTGGAGGATACTGAGTGAGGCTGGGCTGACTAACTTGGACCCATTCTGTGAGGTGGGGGGGGCACAACCACAGTCCTGGGCCCCCCCCAGGGCCTTCGGCAACTGCCCAGTCCTGGGGGGGCAGGCAGGATAGAGAGGAGATGGCTCAGGTCTCAGGTCGTTCCTGGGGTTCCAGAAGAGTCCAGTTAGGGTTCCCACCCTAGCTCTTTAGAAAAGCAGTCAGAGCAGAGAGGTGGGCAAGAAACAGACAAGAGAGCGCGCCTGTCAGTTCTTCCAGGGAAGACAGCGAGCTTCCACCCTTGCCCAGACCCTAGGCGGTGCGGCCCCCTCCCACAACAGACAAGACATCCCTGCTGCCAGGCTCCAAAACAAACCTCTCCCTGAATGGGGCCTATCCCCCCCACTACAGCACCTACCTAGACTGGGGGACCCCCTTCCTCACCCGCGGCCTCTGCAGAATGGAGTCCCTCTCTGCTGCACCAGCCGGTCTTCCCCCTACATAGGGCCCTATCCCCCAGGCCACCCCCTTCCTAGGACCCTGCACCCTCCCCCACCTCGGCGCCTCCACTCTGCCCCCCAAACCTTTTCTGTCCCCAGGAGCAGAGGACACTCACTTCTCAGATGCCCAGACTTTGGACCCTGACCCCCAGAGGCTGCCCGTGGGGAGGGGGCAGCTGTTCAGGGCTCCTTCGCAGCCGGTTCGCCTGGGGCGCTGGCACTGGGCGGCGGCGCTCCTGGGTTCTCTCTCGGGCTCCGGTGGGGGGGCCGGAGCATGCCCCCCGCTCAGCCCCGGGTCAGGCGCGGCTCCGGCGGGCTCCCGGCCGGCCCGGCGGCGCGCAGACCTCTGCCCCAAGTCGCGGACCCGACCCGACGCGGCGCGGCGCCGTGGGAGCCCCGGCTCTGCGCGCACCGGCACCCGCCGCCCAGCTGCTCAGGATGACATCAAGTCACCTCCCCCCGCCTGGCCCGCACCTCCCCGCGGGCTGGGGGCGGGGGGCTGCGTCAGGAAGCTCCCGGGGCGGCTGGGAGATGTAGTTCCCGCAGCGCTTAAAGGGGGCTGCCCGACCTGAGGGGTGACCCTGCGGGCGCCCGGAAAGCTGAAGCCGAGAGGGGTGGGAGCCAGGTGGGGCCGCGCTCCAGGCTCGGGAAGGGGCGCCGACCCCCTGGGAGGGAGCGCTGCCAGTCGCCCCGGGGAGCGGCGGTGATGCCAGGTCGCGGCGGGGAGCGGCCCAGCCCTACGCCAAGCCCCCAAGCGTGGCCTGCTCCATCTGCGCCTCTGGCGTCGACCCCCGGGGGCGCCCCACCCTCACCCAGGCTGGCCAGCCACTTCAGGGCCGGTGGAAGCCAGCTCCACACAGGTTAATCGTCCGCGGTGACCCAGTGCCTGCTGGGAGGGGTGTGGCGCCCTAGAGCCCACTGGGAAGTGTAGTCCATTTTCAGGCCTGCAGTCCCCCTCCCGTCCCCTGCCGGCTCGGTGACATCATGGTCTGGGCTTTAAAGGGGCAGCCTAGGAGTGGCAAGCATGAGTGCAGGAGGTGCTCCCGGGCACTGCCACCCCACTCCGCAGACAAGCTGGCCCCCAGCCCCTCAGGGCCCTAAGATGTGCTAGTGGGGTGTCTCGTTCAAAACCCTGTTGGACAGGAAATCCAGGGCACCAGGGGGATGCCAAGAGTCTGGTGCAAGTTCCTGTGCTGCATGTCTGGGTCCCCTTTCTAAGGCCCTGGGCTTCTGTCTTAGGACCCTAGACCCCAGCACCGTTTCTTCCCCTCAACCCTATTGCCCTCCACCCAGAAGCTCTGGCTGGATGAACAACTGGTCCGTGCGGGCACTAATAGGGGGGACTGAGATCTGACAGTGAGGTCAGGGAGGGCTTTGGGCTGGCATCCGTTTCCCAGTCCTCCACTGTCCACTTTGGGCTTGGAAATCAGCGTGCCAGTGGGCCCACCTGGCCATCTTCCCACCTTCTGGAGCAGCACAAAGCAGAAGCTCTGGTTTAGCCAGGCTGTGACCCCGGACTCTAGCACCACTGAGCTGGCCAGCGGCCCTCTTGCTCAGAAATCTTCATCAGGTTTTGACCACCTGCCCCTTGATACCTTCCTCTGTCCAAGGAACAACCATTGTCTCATTGCTCACCTCCCAGGCTCAGGAAGTGGATCTCTCCCACATCCCTGGAAACAGCAAGTTTCGAGAGGGCTGGCCCCAAGAGCCTTCTACGGCCAGGTGAGGCCCCAAAGGAACAGAAAGGACAGCGTTGCCGGACAGCACAGAGCCTATCCTCAAAAGCTGGGACCAGGAGGCAGCCCCCCACCTCCCAGGAGGATCCCCACCCCAGGCTTCCTGGACAGCGCGCTGGGTTCCGTGGGTCCCAAGGCCAAACTGGCTGTGGAGTTGGTGCTTTGCACAAAGACGGTGCTCGGTGCTCGGTTGGGAACGAAAGGGCGGAGGACAAGAGCATCAAGTTCTGTGCCAAGCGGCGTTTAAACTCCGTCTCAAAACAGATACAGTGTCACCGGCAGTTGCGGGGCTGAAAATTCTTTTCTTTTTAAAATTATGTTTGTGGAGATATTTTCATATACTACGAAATCTACCCACTTGGGTATGGCTGGTCAGGGACGGTGGAGTTCGGCTGGCAAGGGGAGACAGCCCTGGAGATGGGGCTGCACAGGATCGAGAGCATACTTAGTGCTACTGAGTTAGCCTTTAAGAAGAGTTGAGGTGGCAAATTTTGGGGAGCAAAATGCAAAATCTAGATCCTCTATCAGGACTTTGTCAAATGCCATTGCCCTGGGCTTTCTTCCCTGATTCCTCCACACAGTCCTGATTCCGTGATCCCACTGAAGAGATCCCCAGAAGGGTTTTTGGGTGGGTCATTCCTGAGGGAGGAATTCTCTCCCCCACATCCAAGGAGCCCCTCCACCCCACCCTCCAGGCCTGGTACACCCTGGCTAAGGAGTTCCCACCTAATCTTGTGGAAGTTTCCAAGGAGCCCATGCTTAGGCAAAGCCTGACCCTCCCCATCTTCTCTCTGGGGAAGAAGCCTCGCCCAAGCCACCCCTAGGTCCCCACAGTTCTCCGAGGCCCAGCTGTCCAGTAGAAGCTCACCACTGCAATACCTATGGCTGCACCTTTCTTTGCATTGCTGGGCCTAAAATTGGGCCTAGAATTCCACCTCTAAGAATTCCCCGCCAAAAGAATACCACCCCTTTACCCTGCCACTTTTGTTATTCTTTTACCTGGCGACCTCCTGGCATATGTATGTCTTTGGATTTAGCTTTCCATGGAGATCGAGGTGCACCATCTGGGGAAGACAGTGGGAAGGGCCTTTGTGCCCCCTGAATCTTCTGTTCTTTTGCTGTGGTGCAGACACGGGACAGGCTCAGGACTGGCTCAGACACACCAATTCCCAGCACACAATGTTAACATACAGTGGCTCCTGCTCACATTACAGTGAGAGACAGAGATCTGCCTCCCTGGGGGGAGCCCAGCGGGAAGCAGCAACCCCAGAGGAGGGACCTGGATAGTGAAATGTCCCTGTGTTCCCAACCTTTGTACGCTTGTCCCCACTGCGGGGGAATGCACCTTCTCCGAGACAGGACGAAAGGATGCCTTTCCCAAGAGTTCAGAACATGCTCTTCTCGCCCACTGCCTCTGGGAGCAGTGAAGCTTGTTCATCTACTTGCTCTGCAGCCACTCAGCCCACAGCCTCAGTTTTCCTCTCCCATAAATGGGGATATAATAGAGCCTTCCTTATGAGCACATGGCGAAGAACATTGAACACTTAATGCGTGTGCAGTGACAAAACAGAGCCCAAGTCATCACACTCCACCCATAGTGCCTATTACTTTTATCATTACTAAGTTAATGATGACTCAACGAACACAAAGCTGCCCGTGGCCTGTCGTGGGGGGACAAGCAGATAGACCTCTTGATTTACTCTGTGTTTTGTGAGGGGTGTTCAGATTAGCTTGCCTCCTGGAATGGAGCCTCCCCAAAGTCTCCCACACTCTCTGGGAGGATGTTCCTCAGTCTTCCAGTAAAGTGCTCTCCCACCTATAGCCCCAACCCCAGGCTCCAGGGTCAAAACAGAGGAGTAGCCACTTGCCTGGGGCCACACAGGGAGTGGCACTCTGGTTCCTGCCCCTGGGCCAGGGAAGTTGCCTTTGTTTCAGGCCCACTTTCACCTTTCCTTTGCAATCCAGTGGATGTTGCTACTGGTGGGTGTCCAAGCGGATAAGCTGGGCTTGACTTTTCCTGCAAAGGCCCAGGAAGCCACAGTTTTAGGCCTTGCAGCCCTCTCTCAAGGGCACAGCTCTGCAGCCATAGCCAAAGCAGCGAGCACGGCTGGATTCCACTGGAACTTTATTTGTGGGCACTAAGTATGAATTTCCTAGGATTTCCATGTGTTGTGTGGCATCTTACTCTTCTTTTGATTTTCTTCCCAACTATTAAAAAATATAAGAACCATTCTTACTAAACAAATACAACAGACCCTGGACCAAGGGTGTTAGAAACCATTTTTTTATTGATTTCATTCAGAGTTAGCGATATGGAAAACCATCATTATTATTACAGAGAGGACCTCAGACCTAACCAAGTGGAGAGCCCAGTGCCGCCTTTCACCTCGTGTGAAATACGATCCAGGTGAGGATGGGAAAAAAGACTTCCTTGGAGACAGACTCACAGCGACCTTTCTACTCTTGGTTTTTTTTTTTATTATTTTTAACCAAAATCTGTCTTCTTATCTGTCATTGGTGGCAGTAGTCTCCAGCTCAGAGCGTTGAGAGTGTTGAATGAGGTCAAAGACGTAACACGTTTTGTAAACTGCAAATGTTTATCCATTCACTTGTCTTCTGCAGAGGATGCCGCCCTCGGCCATCCCTCTGGGAAGCGTGCCGAGAAGTCTGATGGGGCGCTGTTTCTTTAAATCCTCCCAAACTCCTTCAAGTAGTGGGACCAGTCGGCACATGCGCATTCATTTGCGGGGTTGACACCTCCAGCTGCAGCCTAGCTAGACCAGTAGCAGGGAGGTTAAAGGTCCTCCCACACAGAATTTATACGCAGGCGTAAATCAACACCCGGAGCATTATGTGATGCAGCGAGCCCAGACCCTTTTTCGCGCCTAAAGGCCCCGCCCCCTGCGGCCAATCAGCAGGCCTCGCCCTTTTCAGTGACCAATGGCAGTGCGCGTGGGGGGCGTGGCTGGGCGTCCGGGGGCGCGGCCTGGCGCTGTGAGAAGCGGCGGGGCAAGCCGGGGGCTCTAGTGAACAGCGCAGCCGGACGGGATCGCCGGCGGGCGGCGAGCGGAGGCGGCCCGGGCCCGGCGGTCTCCGAGATGTCACGATGGCTGTGGCCATGGTCAAACTGTGTGAAAGAGCGGGTCTGCCGGTACTTGCTGCACCACTACTTGGGTCACTTCTTCCAGGAGCACCTCAGCCTGGAGCAGCTCAGTCTCGATCTGTACAAGGGCAGCGTTGCCCTGCGGGATATTCACCTGGAGATATGGGTGAGCAGCCAGGCCTGAGCCCGACCCGGGGCGGGACGGAGGCGGGGACGCGCCGAGCCGGAGCCCCGGAGAAGGGGTCTGGCTGGGGCACCCGGCACCGGCGCGGAGAGGCCGGGGGGAGCTGAGGGACTCCTGGCGTCGGCGCGACGCGCACTGATTGCCTCCAGCGCCAGAAACTGGGCGGGAAGGGGTCCCTGCGCTGCGGGAGGAGAAACTGAGGCTGGGGAGGGGGTGTCTGCCTGGAGAGAGCCAGAATGAGCACGTTAGCTTGGGTCAGAGTTGGGGCCCAGAGGGGCTGGGAAGGTGAAGAGGCCCAGAAGGGGGGGTTGGGGCTTGGGGTCAGGGACCAGGTCGGACCCAGCACACACAGTGACAGTGCAGGGGGTGCACCTGGTCCGGGAGGACTGGTGGGGTCCGAGCCTGGCCAGGGGCACCGGCCGGCATGCCGCCCTGACCCGCTGACCCCAGGATCCCCGCCGGTGGGTGGGGTTCCCTTCGGATGTGGATGTCAACAACAGCGGCTGACGCCGTGTTGATCAACACCTCGTGTAGCTGCAGCCTCTGCCTACTTCCTGCTTTGGGGAGAGTGGGCCGGGCCCAGCGGCCGTCTGGGGAGGGGCTTGGGGTCAGCATGCAGTTTGGAGGGAAACCCCCTCCCACGAGGCCCAGGGGTTCAGCCTCCCGCGGAGGAGGCCCAGGGACTATTGGGGAGGCTCTGGAGTGAGGTCCGGTCAGAGGCCTGAGGCCGGGGCCGCCGAAAGGGGCGGTGACTCACGGCCCAGCTGACCTGGGAAGTTCCAAAGGAGCCACCAATTAGAGGCCCCAGCCCAGAACTGGCCCAGGGTCCGGCCTCCAGGCTGGAACAGCAGGGGTGGGTGAGGGCCAGGCCCTGGGGCTTTCTGCCTGGCCTCTGCGGGTCAGTCGGGTCGGAAGGGCTGGCTTGGAAGGGCTGGCGTTTGGGTAGGCCAGGCACTTCTGGGGCCAAAGTTGGGGCACCTCTCTAACCTCTGGCCTGCGAAGCCCAGTGTAGCAGGCCTTCTGTGACCTCTGACCCGAGCCTTTTGGGCTGGCCTCAAAGAAGTGACCCAGGCTTGCAGCTGTAGCCTTCTCCTTCCAGCTCCAGACAAGCGCCCACCCTGCCCGGCCCTGCCTTTGGGGTTAAATGGGCTCCTCGTGAGGTCCTTGGTGAAATCTGTGCTCCCTGTCAAACTAGCCCCCCTCCCAGCTGCTCGGCCTGCAGCCCCTACCTTGAAGACTCCAGAAGAAGCCGAGTGCCTGCTCACAGTCCTGGGTCCCAGTCCCCACAGTACCCTAGGTGAACTAGATCTCAAGTCTCTGGGCCTCAGTTTTCCCCATTGTGCATCTCTGGGTGAGGAATTTAGACTTGATCTCTGTGGGTTTCCACTCTGCCCTGTGAGGTACAACACCCACTTTGTGACCAGGAGCTCAGCCTTGAGCCGCAGAGAGAGGTGCAGCTCTACCAGATGGGTAGGATCGGGGCCCCCCAGCTCAGGTTGGCCCGGCCTGCCTCTCCTTTACATGCTCCTGATTGTCCTTGGTCAGCAGTTGCATTCTGCCAGGCCTTTGCCGGAGCACACCACCTCCCGGCCCCTCCAGCCCATTCCTCCCCCTCCACGCCTCCCCTCTGGCTTCACAGACTGGGCAGTCGATGGCGCGGGGATGGGGTGGCGGTGTGGCGGTTGGCAGGAGCAAAGGCTGCTGGGAGAGTGAGTGCTCCCTGAAGTGGAGCCCCCACATGAGACTGCTCGTGGGGGCAGTGAGAAAGGCTGCTGGATTGGGGCGTTCCCTCAGCTGCTCTGTCCATTCTGCCCCCAGTCTGTGAACGAGCTGTTGGAGGCCATGGAGTCGCCACTGGAGCTGGTGGAAGGCTTCGTGGGTTCCATCGAGGTGGCTGTGCCCTGGGCTGCTCTGCTCACCGACCACTGCACCGTCATGGTGTCCAGCCTCCAGCTCACCCTGCAGCCCCGCCGAGGCCCAGGTGAGGACAGGCACACCTGCTGAGAATTTGGGGTAAGGGGGCGACTGGTGGGCATGTGCACCAAGGAGCTGCCCTGAGACCCTCTTCCCACCCACAGGCCCCGGGGCTGCTGACTCCCAGAGCTGGGCATCGTGCATGACCACGAGCCTGCAGCTTGCACAGGAGTGCCTGCGGGACGGGCTGCCAGAGCCCTCTGAGCCGCCGCAGCCCCTGGAGGGCCTGGAGATGTTCGCGCAAACCATCGAGACCGGTGAGCAGGCCCCTGGCCGCTCTGCCCCCTGCTCCTCCATGGCCCGCTGACAGGGGCCCGGGTAGCCGCCTCGCCACCCTGCTGCCCCAGCTCCGGGGAAACCGGCCTGCCCCTGGCTGTGCCACCTGGCCTGAGATGCTTCCCCCCACTCAGTGCTGCGGAGAATCAAGGTGACCTTCCTGGACACTGTTGTGAGAGTGGAGCACTCGACGGGGGACGGACAGCCAGGCGTGGCAGTAGAAGTCCACGTGCAAAGGTAGAAGCCAGCCCAAGGGGTGGCCGGTGTGAGGGAGAGGAGCCAGGGGGCCAGAGGAGGGCGTGGAGGAAGGCGGGCTGTTTGTGGGCCTGGAGTGGGGTGCAGGGCTGTGCGGACCAGGTCTTCAGGGGCAGGGACCCCAAGGATCACGGAGTCAGAGGGAGTGAGGCCTGGGCTGGGCCCCAAGCTGGGTGTGGGGGGCCAAGGCGGCCTGGCTTTGAGGGAGCGGTGGGGCAGGCCAGGCTCCCCAGCGCCCGAGAACCCTCACTGCGTAGACACCGTGGGCCAGCAGGACCCGGGCCAGGGCTGACCCTCTGCCGCCCCAGATTGGAGTACTGTGACGAGGCCGTGCGGGACCCAAACCAGGTGCCCCCCGTGGACGTGCACCAGCCCCCCGCCTTCCTGCACAAGCTGCTGCAGCTGGCGGGCGTCCGCCTGCACTTTGAAGAGCTCTCCCCACAGGTGAGCCTGTGAGTCCCAGCCCTTTCCCTTTCCAGCCCCTGCCTCTCTGACCGCTTGACCTCTCCTAGCCTTTTTGACCACCTCTGATCTCATTTTTCCGACCCTGCCCCTTAGGATTCCCAAGAGGAACACCGCGAAGAGCACCGCGAGCCGCCCTTGCAGATCGGCAGCTGTTCGGGGTACATGGAGTTGACCGTGAAATTGAAACAAAATGAGGCCTTCCCAGGCCCTAAGGTGGGTCCCTGGGCCCCTGGGGACAGAAGCTACGTCCCAGCTCAGAAACGGACACAGAGAGGGTTCGTTGCCTCAGGGTCGCCCAGCTAGCATTGGCAGAGCTGCGCCCGGCAGCTGGCCTCCACGCCACCCCCTCCTTCCCTAGCTGGAGGTGGCTGGGCAGCTGGGCTCCCTGCACCTGCTCGTGACCCCCCGGCAGCTCCAGCAGCTTCAGGAACTGCTCGGTGCCATGAGCCTTGCAGGTGAGGCCTCTGGTCAGCCCTGGGCTGAGGGCTGGGACAGGGCCGGGCAGCAGGGACTGACAAACGAGCGCCCTTCCCTGTAGATCCCGAGGGCCTGGCCGACAAGCTGAACAAGAGCCGCCCACTGGGTGCTGAAGACCTGTGGCTGATCGAGCAGGACCTGAACCAGCAGCTGCAGGCGGGCGCCGTGGCCGAGCCCCTCAGCCCAGACCCCCTTCTCAACCCCTCTGTCAACCTGGACAGCACTGGTGGGTGCGGGGCGGCGTGTGGGGGCGCAGGAGCCAGGGCCCAGCGGCAGCCCCTGACCTCTCCGCGGCCCGCAGACCTCTTCTTCTCCATGGCGGGCCTCACGAGCAGTGTGACCTCGGCTGTCTCCGAGCTCTCCCTGTGCGACGTGGACCTGGGCTCCTCCCTGCACAGCGACACGGCTGCCCGCCGGCTTCCTGCCCAGGGCCACCCCATCGGTGAGTGCTCCGGGCTGGGGCCGCCTCGGGCCACTGCGAGCTCGCGAGCACAAGGGAGGCCTGGAGGTCCCCTGCGGGAGGCCTGGTTCTCTAGGGACACGCGGGAGGCTGGGGACACGAGGGGTCCGTCAGCGACGAGGGCCGAGCACGCCATCGTGGCGCGTCCCCCCGCCATCGGAGGGCGCCAGGACAGATAGATGACCTTGCCGAGCTGCTGCTGTCCCCTGTGTTTCTTGAGCGCTCTGGGGAACCCCTGGTGAAGCCTGTGTCCCCTCAGGCAAGACGGCCCCCACACCCCTCCCGGACACCCTGCGCCCTGACTCGCTGCTGAAGATGACCTTGGGGGGCGTGACCCTGACCTTGCTTCAGACGTCTGCCCCGTCTTCCGGACCACCCGACCTCACCACTCACTTTTTTGCCGAGTTTGACACCACCAAGGACGGGCCCTTCGGCTCCCGCGACTTCTGCCATCTCCGACCGCGCTTCCAGAGGGCCTGTCCCTGTAGCAACGTCCGGTACAAGCCACGGCCGGGGCCTGAGGAGAGACTCCCCACGCCCCCGGCCCGCCTCTCATGCCCGGCTGCTTCCTGCAGGCTCACGGGCACAGCTGTGCAGCTGGCATGGGAGCTGCGGACAGGCCGGGGCCGGCGCACCACGTGCACGGACGTGCGCTGCGGGCAGCTGGAGGTGCTGGAGTGTCTGTGGCCCCGCGGCGCTTCGGAGCCTGAGTACACGGAGGTGAGGGCGGCCGGGCCGCGTGGGACGCCGTGGGTGCGCAGGGGCGAGGCCTGACCCTTCGTCCCCGCCTCTCACCCAGATCCTGAGCTTCCCCGGCAGCGCGGGCTCCCAGGCCTCGTCTCGGCCCTGCGCCCACCTGCGCCACACTCAGACGCTGCGCCGGGTGCCCAAGGTGACACAGGCGGCCCGCCGGGTGGCCTGCCCCTGCGCCCCCCTCTCTTCCTTGAGTTCCGGCGGCAGGAACCTCCCCGCCTGGGCTCTGAACCCCCAGGCCCCGCCCGGACATGCCCTCGGCGCTGTTCGCTTGGCCTGGCTCCTTGGCATAGTCCCTGTCAGCCTGCGGAGATGAGCGCGGCAAACGTGGGGTGGTTTTTATGAAACAAGCATGGTCATCCGCCTCAGGCAGGGGGTGAGACTCCCCAACCCTGCTGGATCCCCGCTCTGGGGCCCCCCCGCACACCTGGTAGGGCCGTGTTCTCCTTTGCTCAAGGGCCCCTCCCGCCCTGCCCTCAGCCGCCCCACAGCCCTCACTGACCTGAACGTCCTCACCCTCAGAGCCGGCCCCGGCGCACAGCTACTTGCCATTGCCACTCAGAGCTGGCCTTGGACTTGGCCGACTTCCAGGCGGACGTGGAGCTGGGGGCCCTGGACCGGCTCACTGCCCTGCTGCGCCAGGCCACCGTCCCCCCTCCCGAGCCGCCTGCTGGCCTGATGGTGAGATGCCGGGCAGGGCTGCTTGCCACAGAGAGGGGCCTGGGTCCTCTGGGGCTTGACCACAACGGTAGGGGCCCCGGAGACAGCCCTGAGCGCCCCACTCCTGTCCTGCAGACAGAGCCCCCGCCAGCTGCCGAGCAGCAGACAGTGGTGCGGCTCTCGGCACCCCGGGCCATGCTGCGGCTGCACTTCCCCATCGCCGACCTCCGACCGGAGCGGGACCCCTGGGGGGGCCGGGCTGTCCGGGCTGAGCAGCTGAGGTTGGAGCTGAGTGAGCCCCAGTTCCGGTCCGAGCTGAGCAGCGGGCCCGGCCCCCCAGCCCCCACCCGCCTGGAGCTCACCTGTGTTGACCTGCATGGTGAGAGCCTCTGGGGAACATCACCTGGAGTGGGGCGCGTTGGCCTATGGGAGAGGTGCACTTGGGGCTCCCGAAGGGGCTCAACGGCAGGGCGAGCCCAGAGTCCAGGCCTCCGGCTGAGCTGCTGTGGGCAGTAGGCTCTGGCCTGGGACATGGCGGGGGGCAGGTCTGTGGACTGGACCGTCACGGGGGGGAGGCTCCCGGATCCCTCCCGAAATTGAGGAAGAAAGGGGAGAGGTGGCAGTGACGGCACGTACCCCTCACGCCGCAGGCACCTACGAGGACGGGCAGAAGCCGCCTGTGCCCTGCCTGCGTGTCTCCAAAGCCCTAGATCCCAGGAGCCCCGGGAGAAAATACTTCCTGCCTCAGTAAGTCGGGGCTCCAGAAGGGGCAGCAGGAGTGAGGGCTTTGCTGCCGAGGGTGCTGGCCAGCCGGGGAGCGGGGCCCGCGCAGTCCATGACCGGCCTGTACCCTGACAGGGTAGTGGTGACCCTGAACCCCCAGCTCAGCAGCACTCAGTGGGAGGTGGGCTCGGAGAGGAAGGAGGAGCTGGAGCTGTCGGCCGAGAGCCCGTGCGAGCTGCGGGAGCCGGAGCCCTCGCCCTTCTCCTCCAAGAGGACCATGTACGAGACTGAGGAGGTGAGGCGGGCCCTGGGTCTCCCCGCCGAGTCAGAAGCCCCTGGTGGCTGTGAGCCAGGGGCTCGGGACCACCGGGGTGTCCCGTGGTGCAACTCAGGGCCGTCAGGCTTCGGACACCCCTCCCGCCCAGGCGCGGCTTGGCCCTGGAGCCCCCCGAAGGTGGTTGGGGTTGAGGGAGGCGGCGCAGGGCCTCAGCCTGGGCCTGCGAATGCAGCCTCCGGCTGTCCGAGCGGTGGCACGTTGGGGGGCCGCTCCTCAGAGCACCGCCTACAGGTGGATTTCCTCAGCTGAGAGTGGGGGTGACCCGTAGCCCCCACTGTGGTTGTCGTGCCAGCGTTCACGATCGCCAGGACGTGGGCCCACCGGTGCCCACTGGTCGCGGCTCCGGTCACGAAGTCGCCTGCCTACACGACGCCGCGTGCCCGTGCCGGGCCGTGCCGCCGGGCGGAAAGGGGGGCGCTGCCGTGCGCGGCAGGGGGACCGAGACGCGCGGCAGTGAGCAGTCGCATCACGAGCCAGCGCCGGCCTTTCCCTGGTGGACAGTCCCTCACCTGCATTTATCAAACCTGACACTAAAAACGAAGTGAGCTTCTCGAGGCCGAGAGAAAGGGTTACAGCGTGTGCAAGGGAAGAAGGGAAATGAAACTTAAACATTGAAGATGCTCAAACAACAAACAAACGAAAGGAGGGCCGAGTGCTTGAAAGCGGCTTAGCGCGATGCCGAGACACAGCAGCCGGCACGTCAGAACGAGCATGCCTGGTTGGAGGACGCCGCCAGAGGGCCCGAGGGCCCTTTCTTCTTGACAATGAGGATGAGGAGTGCATGACTTTTTTTAAGGTTTTATCTATTTACGCACACAGAACTGGGTGCAGGCCAGAAGTGCAGGGGCGGCGAGAGGCTTCACCAGAGACAGAGTGAGAGCAGAACAGGCCGATCGTGAAGTCCACTGCTGAGGGAGCAGTGGGCGGGTCAGGAGAGGGGTCAGCTCCAGGCCAGGCGGGGATCGAACTGGCACTGAAGTGGCGTGGGGAGTTTGCAGTGCTGTGCTCTCCCCACTGGGCCGCAGGGAGGGCCTGGCATGAATGAGTTTTAGGGCCTGTTTTAGCATTAAAAAGGTTTAGGTAAAAGGGAAATTGCTACACCTCACCTATCAGATTGCAGGTGCTGTTTGGAGAGTGCAAGAAATAGTGCTTGCTTACTGCTGAAGGAAAACATTTAAACAAAAGTTGACACACACACCCCCCACCCCACCCCAAAACAACAGGTTAACTCCAAGGTGGCCTGAGCTGGGTAGGCGCCTCCCCACCTCCCAACTAAGACGAGGGGACGAGAATGACTGGGAGGTCAGGACTCGGCCAGGCCCAGCCAGGGGCAGACGGGCCCCCTCGTCTCAGACGCCACCCCGCCTGTGCAGATGGTGATCCCTGGGGACCCTGAGGAGATGAGGAGCTTCCAGAGCCGGGCCCTGGCACTGTCCCGCTGCAGCCTGGAGGTGGTCTTGCCCAGCGCCCACATCTTCCTGCCCAGCAAGGAGGTCTACGAGAGCATCTACAACAGGTGGCGACAGGGCGGCGGGCGGGGGCGGAAGGTGCGGCGGGGGGGGGGCTCCCACCACCCCCCCCCGCCTGTCTCAGGATCAACAACGACCTGCTCATGTGGGAGCCCGCGGGCCTGCTACCCCCTGCTGCCCCTGCCCCCGCGCACCCTGGCTTCCGGGGCCCCTCAGGCTTCTGGCACGACCACTTCAAGATGTGCAAGTCAGCCTTCAAGCTGGGTACGAGGGCGCGGGGCCCCGGCTGGCCGGCAGGGGCAGCCCTCCCGGCCTCCTTCCCACCTGGCTTCTCATCTCACCCTAGACTCGGACTCTGACGAAGAGGATGCCCATTTCTTCTCAGTGGGGGCCTCAGCCCCCCAGCCCCCTGCCCACGAGTCCCCGAGCCCTCACTGCCAGAGCACCTTCTCCACGCTGGTGACGGTGGTGAAGGGTCGCGTCACCGCCCTCTGTGAGACCAAGGTGAGGCGGCCTCAGGAGGTGAGCCCCTGACTCCAGCGCTGCCTTAGGAGTGTGGAGCAGGCCCTGGGGCCGCTGAGCGTGGCCTGTCCAGCAGACAGCACCCACTTGCCACCCACTGACCCCCACACGCCACCCCACCTACGGCCCCTCCCTGGTAGCCATTCATTGGCACCATATCTGGGCAGCGAGGGGACCGAATGGGTGCATCGGGGGCTGGGGCTGGGCGGGGCGTCTGCCCTTCAGGAAGAAGAGGCAGGCTTTGTCCAGGGCCTCCAGGGGCGTCCAGGTCGAGGTGGAGCTGACCCTCATCAGGCTAGAGCCCAGAGGCGCCTCGCTCAAGGGCAGGGGGCTGCTGGACGCAGTTGGTGAGGCCCAGGCCCTGCCGGCCCGCAGGATGAGGCTCAGAAGCCGCTGGAGGCCGAGCACGGGGAGCTGGTGCTGGACGTGGAGCAGGGCACCGTCTTCAGCGTCTCCCAGTACCGTGGCCAGCCGGGGCTCGGCTACTTCTGCCTGGAAGCGGAAAAGGCGACACTTTACCACCGAGGTGTGAGGGCGGGGGCCAGTCGCCTGGGCTCTGGGGGCTCTGGTCAAGGGCGGGCCCTTCTGGTTCTGGCTCCCTGGCTCCCTGAGCCCCTGGGTGAGCTGCAGTCAGCGGCTTGGCAGGGCACTCACCAGCTCCCTCCCCAGCGGCCGTGGATGACTACCAGCTGCCCAGTCGCCTGGAGCTGCCCAGCTTCGCTCCTCCAGCCCGGCTGGCCCCGACCATCTACCCATCAGAGGAGGGGGTGATCGAGCGGGGAGCCTCAGGCCAAAAGGGCCAGGGTCGGGTCTCCAACATGCTGTCCACTGCTGTGCGCATCCACCTGGACCCCCATAAGAATGTCAAGGTACCATGTGGGCCACCTCACGGTCCTCCCTGCTCTCTGGTGGCCTGGGCTCCCCAGTGCTGACCGAGCCCCATCCCCAGGAGTTCCTGGTGACGCTGCGGCTGCACAGAGCCACCCTGCGCCACTGCGTGGCCCTGCCGGGGCAGAGCTGGCATGCCCAGGTGAGCGGGCAGTGTGGCCGGCAGGTCTGGGCAAGGGCTCGGATGGACTGAGGGACGGGGGCCGACCTCAGCCCTGGCAGAACCCCCTGGATGAGGGAGGTGGGGGGCCATGCAAGGGCATGGAAGAGGCCCCTCACTCCCTCCCACCTGGACCTCGAAGCTCCTGGAGTTTTTAGATGTGCTGGATGACCCTGTGCTGGGCTACCTGCCCCCCACGGTCATCACCGTCCTCCACACGCACCTGTTCTCCTGCGCCGTGGACTACAGGTACCTGGACAGGCAGAGCCCGGGTGGGGGCCCGGCCCAGGGGTCGGGCCCGCCAAAACTCACATGTGACCCCCAGGCCACTCTACCTCCCTGTGCGTGTCCTCATCACCGCCGAGACCTTCACCCTGTCCAGCAACATCATCATGGACACCTCCACCTTCCTGCTCAGGTATGAGGACATTGGCCCCTGCCTCTCTTCCTGGGGCTACTCACCGAGGTTTATGAGGTCATGCACTCCTGGGTGGTGAGCTCGCCTTGGGAGGGGATTGGCTCCTCCTGCCCGAATGGCCGCGGGGCCTCCCTCAGGAGCCTGAAACCACTGGCCCCTCGCCTGAAGCTCTTGCTCTGCTCGTTGTCTTGAGGGTAGCGGAGGGGTGGGCAGAGCAGTTACAGGCAGGAAACACGAACAAGCAAAATGCCCCAAAACATGACATGGGTCAGTCAGTTCCGACCCGAGCACCAAAGTCAAGTAGCTGAACCCCAGGAGGAGCAGGCGGGCGCTGCCGGACGGCGGCCAGGGAGTAGGCATGCTCGGCCGGCCCGTGCGGGGCTGCGTGCGTCTCCCTGTGTCTCATGGGAGAGACGCGAGCTGGAAACGTGGGGTTCGAGATGACATGTGACATCTGTTTTCTTTCTGCTGCTATATTTGAAGATACCTGTGTGTCAGGCTCTCATGAAAATACGGACTTTTTTTTTTTTAAAGATTTATTTATTTGTACATACAGAACTGGGGCACAGGCCAGAGGGTGAGGGGCGGTGAGCGGCTTCACCAGAGACAGAGCGGGGAGCAGAACAGGCAGATGGACGAAGTACACTGCTGAGGGGAGCAGCAGGGGGCCAGGAGAGGTCTGCCTCGCCATGGGGTCACCTCCGGGGCAGGCGGGGATCGAACTCATGCGGAAGCGGCTTTAGCTTCTCAGTGCTGTGCTTTAACCCACTGCGCCCCCAGGGAGGGCCCAAAAATACGGACTTTTTTATTAAGATTTTTTTTTATATATGCACACCAGAACTTGGGTACAGGCTAGAGGTGTGGGAGAGGTGAAAGGACTCACCAAAGACAGAGCGGGGAGCAGAACAGGCCGAAACACACTGCTGAGGGGAGCGGTGGGGTGACAGGAGAGGCCTGCCGCGCCCTGGGGGTCCCTCCCTGGCCGGGGATCGCACGCAGGCTGCCGTGGCGGGCGACAGCTTCACGGTGCTGAGACTCGCCCTGCGCCACCAGGGAGGCACGCTTCGGATTTCCTTTGAAAGAACAACTGCTGTGAGGGGCACGTCCCAGGACGCTCTGAGGCCCAGGGAGGTGGGCAGCTGGGAGTTCTTAAGCGTGCCGCCCACTCTGAGTGGCCAGGCCCCTGTCCCTGCGCACAGGCCCCAAGGCTGGCGGCCGGGGCTGCAGCTCTTTGTGGGCTTGGGGCCCCTGTGGGAGCCCCTCTGCCTGTGCCTGGGAGCCTTCCCCTGGCCGCTCCGGGCCTTCTCAGCCTGTCCCCCACCAGGTTCATCCTGGACGACTCGGCCTTGTACCTGTCGGACAAGTGTGAGGCGGAGACGCTGGACCTGCGGCGAGGTGGGCAGGGCCCGGGCCGGACTGCCTCCCCTCTGGGCCACTCCCCGAGCAGCACACGTCCCCTCCTGCTGCTGGCCAGTCTGTGCACCCACACATGCGTGCGTGCACCCGAGGGCTGCCCCCCGTGAGCCCCGGACTCCCCAGTGGCGGCCCAGTGCTGGGCTGAGGGCGCTCTAGGACCTTCTCCTGCCTTCCTGTTCAGATTACGTCTGTGTCTTGGATGTTGACCTCCTGGAGCTGGTGATCAAAACCTGGAAGGGAAGCGCTGAGGGCAAGCTGGTGAGTGGGCTCCTGCCGTCCCCTGAGCTCAGGAGGTGCAGGGCGGGGCCTTTCCCCCGCTGGGGCTCTGCTTCCGCTCTCGCTCTCCGGTCTGTGCTCGCCCACTGTCCTTACCTGCCGTCCCGCTGGACTGTGCTAACCAGCCCTCCCTCCTGGGAGCAGCCCTACCCCATGGCTGCCCGCGTCGCGCCCCACCACCAGAGGGCAGCTGCCTCCAGGGAAAAACCTGGGCCCCAGGTTCCTTCTGTGTGAAATGGAGTCTAGGCCGCGGGCCGGGGGGAGGGGAGGACGGGGTGCACGGAGCCCTTCTGCGTGCACCCCCTCCTGGGGTGGGCTCCTGGCCCGGGTGTGGGGTGTGTGGGCGGGCCTGGCTGCAGGATGTGCCTGGCAGGGGTGGAGCTGGGCTGATGCCCGCGCCCCGCCCTGCAGAGCCAGCCGCTGTTTGAGCTGCGCTGCTCCAACAACGTGGTGCACGTGCACAGCTGCGCAGACTCCTGCGCCCTGCTGGTCAACCTGCTGCAGTACGTACTGGGTGCGGGCGACCTGCACCCCCCACCCCGGCCCCCCAGCCCCACGGAGATCGCCGGCCAGAAGGTACAGGTGAGGCCTGGCTGCACTGGCCGCTGGAGCTCGCTGGGCCCTGCGCCCTGCCACGGGCCCCAGGGGCCTGCTCCCGGGGAGCCCTGGGGCTGCCCCCTCCTGTCACTCATGGCTGCTCCCCCACCCGGCCAGCTCTCCGAGAGCCCAGCCTCCCTGCCCTCCTGCCCGCCCGTGGAGACAGCCCTCATCAACCAGCGGGACCTGGCCGATGCCCTCCTGGACACAGAGCGGAGCCTGCGGGAGCTGGCCCAGCCTTCAGGTGGGCGGGGGTGCTGCAGGGCCAGTGGGCACAGTCAGCACCCATCTTCAGCACCCCCAACCCGGCTTCTCTCCCACAGGTGGCTCCCTCCCTCAGGCCTCGCCCGTTTCCGTCTACCTGTTCCCAGACGAGCGGAGTGGGGCCCAGCCCCCATCATCCCCCGATGGGGCCCCCACTGGCAACTTGGGGTCCTGCTTAGAGACCAAGGAAGATGAAAAGGAAGAGGAGGGGGATGGAGACACGCTGGACAGTGACGAGTTCTGCATCTTGGACGCGCCTGGCCTGGGCATCCCGGTGTGTGGTGGGCAGGCTGGTGGGACCAGGAAGGGGCGGGAGATGGTGGCTGGGCTTCGGGCCCTTAGAGCTGCCGCTGGGAGTGGAGGCAGGAGGTGGCTGCTGTCACCTGGAGCTGGGCCGTGGGTGGGGCCCAGAGTGTGCCCCGGGAGAGGACAGGAGGAAGAAGCAGGTATGTGTCAGGGAGGAGGGAGGGAGTGGGGCGCTTTGTGGGGGGGGCGTTTGGCTGCGGGGTGCTGACCTTGTGGCCCCCGCATGCCAGGGGCAGGTATGTGCCAGCACCCTGCCCCCAGTGCAGGGCTGGCGGGAGCACAGGGCGCTCGGCCCCGAGACAGAGCAGTCAGCCCCCTGGGGCAGCGGCCACGAGGCTCGTCTTTGTTGAAAACGAGGTGGGAGGGGTGAGGACGGGGCACCGTGGAGGGCACCGGGACTGGGGGGCCCGTGCCCGCAGCTCACTCGCCCCCTCCCTGCAGCCCCGGGACGGGGAGCCCGTGGTGACGCAGCTGCACCCCGGCCCCATCATCGTGCAGGACGGGCACTTCTCCAGGCCCCTGGGCAGCACGGACCTGCTGCGGGCGCCCGCCCACTTCCCGGTGCCCAGCAGTCGGGTGGTGCTGCGGGAGGTGTCCCTCGTCTGGCACCTCTATGGGGGCCGGGACTTTGGGTCCCACCCTGGGCACAGGTAAGAAGGGAGGCGCTGGCCCCCAGAGATGGCCCGGCCGGGTCCGTGGCCACCGGTGGCCGCTCCTCCCACCACAGTTCTCCCGCCTTCTCCCCGCCATCTCGCAAGGGGAGACCTTCCGGCTGGTGGTGAAGGGGGGCGAGGGGTGGGCCCGAGTCAGCCTGCGCCCGCCCCCCTCCCAGGGCCAGAGCGGGCCTCCCAGGCCACCAGGGCTCTCCTTCCCGCTCCTCCGGCGGCAAGCGGCCCCAGAACTCCTGGCGAGCACAGGGCGGCAGCGGACGGCAGCACCGAGTCCTCATGGAGATCCAGCTGAGCAAGGTGCGCGCGGGGAGGGGGGATGGGGACACCCCACCCCAGTGCCTGCCAGCCTCCCAGATGCCATTAAGTGTGGGCACAAGAGACGCACGTGGGGGGGCAGCTCAGCGCGAGGCGGCAGCGCCAGGCCAGCCCGCGGCTGGGTCCAGCTGCGCCGTCCTCGTGAGAGGCCCTGCGGGCCCAGAGGCCTGGCCGGGGCAGAGTAGAGGCTGCAAGTCGTCCCTGGCTGCTCGGAGGCTGGGAGGCGGCGGCCAGGGTCAGCCCCCAGGGCAGGCGGGGCCGTCCAGTTCTGGAGTCTTCCTGCTGGGAGAAGCGTGGGCTTAGCGCTGGACACCGTGAGACCCAGAGGGCTGGTGACCCCAGAGCCGGGCGCACCCCTGAGCCGGCTGGGGACCCCAGAGCCGGGCGC